TCCTGGGGCCTCCTGGAGCCTCTTGGGACATCCTGTGGCCTCTTGAGTCTTTCTGTGGCCTCCTGATGCCTCCTGGGACCTCATGTGGTCTCCTGGAGCCTCCTGGAGCCTGTTGGAGCCTCCTGTGGCATCCTGAGAAGAATCTGCGCCCACGAGCCTGGCCACCAAAACTAGCAAACCGATCGAGACATCCTCAAAATCTGGCCCACCTGGGGGGTGAAAATGAGCGCCTCGCTCGAGACATCCTCCAAATCTGCTCCGAAAGCGAAGGATGTTGGGCACAGAAACAAGCAAACCGCCTGAGACATCCCCACAAAATGGCCGCGAACGAGCCCGTGCAACCACCCCTGGCGGCTCCCCTTAGGGGTGCTGAAATGAGCGCCTCGCTCGAGACATCCTCCAAATCTGCTCCGAAAGCGAAGGATGTTGGGCACAGAAACAGGCAAACCGCCTGAGACATCCCCACAAAATGGCCGCGAACGAGCCCGTGCAACCACCCCTGGCGGCTCCCCTTAGGGGTGCTGAAATGAGCGCCTCGCTCGAGACATCCTCCAAATCTGCTCCGAAAGCGAAGGATGTTGGGCACAGAAACAGGCAAACCGCCTGAGACATCCCCACAAAATGGCCGCGAACGAGCCCGTGCAACCACCCCTGGCGGCTCCCCTTAGGGGTGCTGAAATGAGCGCCTCGCTCGAGACATCCTCCAAATCTGCTCCGAAAGCGAAGGATGTTGGGCACAGAAACAGGCAAACCGCCTGAGACATCCCCACAAAATGGCCGCGAACGAGCCCGTGCAACCACCCCTGGCGGCTCCCCTTAGGGGTGCTGAGTATGAGTAAGTCTGTGTATGAGTAAGTCTGTGTATGTGTACGTCTGGGTATGACTAATACTGTGTATGAGTAAGTCTGTGTATGAGTAAGTCTGTATATGAGTATGTCTGAGTGTGAGTAAGTCTGAGTATGAGTAGGTCTGAGTATGAGTAAGTCTGAGTATGAGTAAGTCTGTGTATGAGCAAGTCTGAGTATGTCCGACAGGAGGGGAGGAGAAAAGAGGAGGAGGAAGGAGGAGGAGTAGGAGGCGTCCAAGTAATTATTCACTGCGTGGAGCTCCCCATATGTGCATCTACTCGCATGGACCTGTCCGCCGTGAATGTCTAGGCGCAAGAGCTTTCGAATATTAACGGGCTTCAGTTGTGACGGTCTGGACATCAATCTAACTGCGAATGAATTGGAGTGTGAATGAGCCTCAGTAGTACGAGCGCGTCTCTGTGCATGAGCCTGGGGCCTCCTGGGGCCTCCTGAAACCTACTGGGGCTTCCTGGGGTCTCCAGGAGCCTCTTGGGACCTCCTGGGACCTCCTAGGAAGGTTTCGTGCCCCAGGGGAGGCGCAATCTATAGCAACAGACGTACATAAAACATTGCGGATTAGAGCCACAGGAGAAGGGCAATCTATAGGAACACGCGTAAAACACCAAGGACTCGTGCCCCAGGAGAGGCCCAATACATAGGAACATGAGTAAAACATTTAGGATTGTGTACACAGGAGAAGGACCATCTATAGAAACATACGTAGAACATCAAAGAATCGTGCTCCAGGTGAGGCCCAATCGATAGGAGCATACGTAAAACACATGGGATTGGAGCCACTCCTGTTGCCTTCTGAGGCCTCCTGCTCCTGGGGCCTCTCGGGGCCTCCTGTTGCCTTCCGAGGCCTCCTGGCGCTTCCTGTTGTCTCCTGGGGTCTCCTGTGGTTTCCTGAAGCCTTCTGGAGCTTCCTGGGGCCTCCTGGAGCCTCTTGGGACATCCTGTGGCCTCTTGAGTCTTTCTGTGGCCTCCTGATGCCTCCTGGGACCTCATGTGGTCTCCTGGAGCCTCCTGGAGCCTGTTGGAGCCTCCTGTGGCATCCTGAGAAGAATCTGCGCCCACGAGCCTGGCCACCAAAACAAGCAAACCGATCGAGACATCCTCAAAATCTGGCCCACCTGGGGGGTGAAAATGAGCGCCTCGCTCGAGACATCCTCCAAATCTGCTCCGAAAGCGAAGGATGTTGGGCACAGAAACAGGCAAACCGCCTGAGACATCCCCACAAAATGGCCGCGAACGAGCCCGTGCAACCACCCCTGGCGGCTCCCCTTAGGGGTGCTGAAATGAGCGCCTCGCTCGAGACATCCTCCAAATCTGCTCCGAAAGCGAAGGATGTTGGGCACAGAAACAGGCAAACCGCCTGAGACATCCCCACAAAATGGCCGCGAACGAGCCCGTGCAACCACCCCTGGCGGCTCCCCTTAGGGGTGCTGAAATGAGCGCCTCGCTCGAGACATCCTCCAAATCTGCTCCGAAAGCGAAGGATGTTGGGCACAGAAACAGGCAAACCGCCTGAGACATCCCCACAAAATGGCCGCGAACGAGCCCGTGCAACCACCCCTGGCGGCTCCCCTTAGGGGTGCTGAAATGAGCGCCTCGCTCGAGACATCCTCCAAATCTGCTCCGAAAGCGAAGGA